CCAAGAAACAACAAAACAGCAACACACAGAGGGAATCATTACAACGTGATTACCATTATCAAAAGTCACTCATAAAATGCTGTTTTTTTCTATGTCTTCATAGAAGAAAATATCTACCATATTCTTTTCTCTTATGGAATGAACTGACTCAAGATTCTGAACAGATACAAATGAATGCGTTCACGGCTATTGTACTGTGAATGTAAACAGTATGCTTACTTGTATGGAATGACAATTTAGATTAAGGGTTAATGTCCACATTTTTTTCAGATATTTAAACTTGATAAACATGTATAAATAAATCAATTAAATCAGATTCATTTTCTTTGGCAGAATAACCGCCAATACTACCACCTACTGTATGTGTCTCATTCTGACCAAACAAAAAACTGGACTGAGGCAATTACAAAACTTTTAAATAAAATTGTTTAACCCATATGTACAATTTCTTATGTAATACTTCTGTTGGTTTCCATGTATTATATTTTTAGCCAAATCATTTATTTCCTGATCTTTCAATAGTCATAAAATTTGAATGCAAACTTTCAGTAGAAACATATAATACTTTTGAAAGACCATTAGTTCAATACAAAAAATAAAACAGAAATAAAAATCTCTTACCTACTGAAACTGTTGATTAATTAGGATGCTCAGAAGTAGGATATCCTGGCTAAATCTGTAAGTACAGTACCCCCAGAATTGATTTTGGCATCATTATTCTGAGGGTTATTCTGAATTGTACTTAATGTACAAATTCTGGAAATATAAGAGATTCAAGCTGAGTCTCCAGGATAATGGCCTCAGGATATCCCTTGGAATTAATTATCATTTTCTTAATTCTCCTAAAAGTGGGGAATAAGAGAAGGTGGCTAACTGGGCTCCAATAAACTGATGCTTTATTCTAACAGAACAGTAATAGTAATTCCTCTCCACATTAAATTCTCAGGACTCTGTCTACATCCACCTCTCATATACAGGGACACAATTATTTTAAAAAATCAGATCAATTTGGACCTCAACTTCCTAAATAGTATAGGTTTTTCTACAAATTAGTAGCATAGTGGCTGGGGTGAGGGGATCAAGAGAAGAGTTCAGAGTGGTTTTTCAGTTAGCAATTACTTTTTGAGATTTTATGCAGCAGCTGTCAATCTAAAATTCATTCAAAACTATTCTTCATAGACCATACTAAAGACAGGGGCCAGCTCAAACATAAATGAAGCAGGAAAAAAAGAAAACAAAACAAAACACAAAAGGCTGCAATATAGAGCACTTTAACCATTAAAAAAATATATAAAGGCAAATTACATATAAAATATGAACATAAAAGTTTAAAGTCTAAAATCCTGCACTTTTATCATAATACAAATGTTCTCTAAGTCACCAGCTATTGTGTTTAATATACCCAATAATAAAGTAAATAGTTATTATTTATTTAACATATTTTACTTAATATATCCCATATATTGCATATATAATAAATATTATATGTTGTGTATATTTAATACGTCATTTACTTAATATATACTATGTGCCAGATATAGTGCTGGGCCCGTTATGTACACATAATCTCACTTAAACCAGACAACACCTCTGCAAAGTAAGTATTGTTTCTAAAAGTATTGTCTCTATTTAGACATACTGACACTATTTTAAAGGAGAAAATGACTTTCAAAATTTAATTACAAGTTAAAAGTAGAACCAGAATTCACAAAGGTCTGACTTCAAAATTTGTAAATTGTCTGCAATACCACTTTGCTCTCTACAAATCTAAATATAGTCAATCCTCATTTCTAGTCATAGATTACATATTTGCCAATTTGCCTACTTGCTAAAATTTATTTATAACCCCAAAATCAATACTAACAGAGCTTTTGCAGTCATTCAAAGACACGTGCAGAGTGGCAAAAATTTGAATTGCCTGCTGCACATGTATGTTTCCAGCTGAGGTCAACAAGGTGACTCTCTGCCTCCTTGTTTCAGCTCTCCTACTGTAAACAAGTATCCTTTGTGTAGTCTATTTAGTGCCAGAATTTTTTGCATTTTTGAGCTTTTGTTGGTAATTTCACTGTTTTAAATGGCTTCCTAGTATAGTGCTGAAAAGTGCTTTCTAATGTTTCTAAGTATAAGAAGGCTGTGATATTTCTTATGGAGAAAACATGTGTTAGATAAGCTTTGTTCAGCCAGGAGTTACAGTGCTGTCGGCTGTGAGTTCAATGTGAATGAAGCAACAATATACATTAAATGTCTTTAAACACAAACATACACAGAAAACAAGGTTATGTATTGATCTGATGATGAAAATGTTGTGACCAGAGGCTTGCAGGAACCTAACCCTGTCTTTCCCTTAGGAGCAGTGGTTCAGTACTCACTAATCAGTGTTCGTGGTAACTTCATAGAACATAACTAGGGCAAAAAACAAGAATCAACTAACACCCAACTGAAAACTTTTCTCCTAAAAATGTTTACATTGATATTTCAGTAAAAGATTCTCCTATCATTTCCTTCAAAGATACTACATCATTTATTTGTGCAGTCACTCATCTGCTTACGAAAAAGAAACGCTTCATTGCCGTTCTGTTTAATGGGTTGCAGCTACATGTGTTTGACTTTGCTCAGAAAATTAATCCTTCTTAAAAGCAATCTGGCTTTCCAGTATGAAAGTCTAAGGTAATTAAATTTCATTTCTTATTACCAGATGTCATGGGTACTGTTTAAAGATGACAGTTTGGTGAGATTATGATTTTTAAAACTAGATAGTTACATGTAATACTAACAGTATGAGCAACAACAACAAAAACTTAGCATAGCAAATTAGAAAAATACCAGCACAAATTGGAACTCTTACCTTTCTTGACCAAGTCACAGATTTTATTAAAAAAATAAAAAATTACAGTACTTAAAAATCCAAACAAGGACAATTCAGGGTTGAAAGAAAGAAAACCTGAAGGAGTCCACTGTCTTCAATAAAATTTCAAATACAAAAAACGTAGACCAGAAAAACAGTTTATGGCCTAATGCACTAGTTCCATGATAAACACACATATATAGTATAGCTCCATCAAGTGAAACTTAATCACCTTTTTACAATTTAGAGAGGGAAGGCAGCTTCAGTATGGTTAAGCCATGTATCATCAATACCATGAAGGTAGCCTATCAGTTGTAATAGCTTCTATAAAATACCACAGTGAGATTGCAATAAGCCTAGAAAATGGGCTACAAATCCCAGCTATGCTCAAGCAAGCAGTGAACCAAAAATAAAAATAGGTAAAACCGAACCAAGAACTAGATAGCATTCATCTAGATTCATGATTGGTAAGGCAAAGTTCATAGGCCAAGGTTTTTAAAGTGACTTATTGATATTTAACAGATAGTTATTATACAAAATAAAATAAAAGCATTTATGCAATTCAGAAAAAAAAACATGAATTTTCACTCCAAAGACAAAGCACACAAAACAGTTTACTTACAATTACCAAACACTACATTATTATACCTTTAAATATCACTTTAAATATGCAAAGGTAAAGATACTCAAAGTTGCACTTTATCATTTTTAATCTCTCCAGTTTAGACAAGTAATCTAAAAGGAGATGTCAAAATTTCTACTTACAACGTTGAAATCTTTCAGATTGTAATAACTTTAGGTAAAGGGAATTTCAACTTCAAGTTTCTTCTCCAATCATATTTAAGTTAGCCATTAGATGCTACATTAACAATTAAGCCATACAATTAATAGAAAAATACATGTATTAAATTACATTGTTTTCATCAATTATTGGAACTTAATAAAAATATTAACCATTTTAATATAACCATTTTGAAAAACTCAAATGGCCTGAACTTAGTCTAATGTCTAAATTATAACATCAATAGAAATGTTACATCCTGGTTGGTGAAAATGAACTCATGCAAGTATTTCTGACACTCACAGTGACACATATGGTCTGCCATTCTAAGGATGTACAAGCAGCTCTCACTTTTAAACATGACAATATGATTCTGAGTAACACAGTATTTGTTAAAATACCAGCTTTCACATGATTTCTTTAAGCTCTAAGCCACGATAATAATTTTGATGTGTTTCAGATATCAGACAAAGCAGATAATTTAAAAGGTAATAATAAAAGGTTCTACTAGTGCAGACTAGTTATCACTGTGGCTAGTTTAGAACTACAATGATTTCTGCAGTACAATGAAACTACACTATAAAATACAATGTGTTTGCAATACACAGCAAATTATCCAAGTGAAGGGAAACTGAAAATACAAACTCCAAAAAATATTATCAACCTTACCTACTACTCATGTTAGCCCTTGTCAAAACACCCCTGAGTAAAATGCAAATATTTTAAATAATGCTGGCTATATAAGACCTCTCTAAAAATGAACCATAAATGTCAATGTATCATGTTTTTTATTTACAACAATCAGATATGTGAAAATTAATTCATAACCAGCCACAATATTAACATGAAGGAATACTTAGGTTAGATCTGGTCGTTTTTAATTTTCTACGTTTTGTTAGCATTTTGGCAAAGCGAGTAATATATAAATGGATTCGAGTAAAAAAAAACCATAAAAGAAAAGAATATATAAAATTTACAGTAGTTTCCATCCACCCTAGGCCAACCTAGATCCCTAGAAAGCCTCCCATTCAGGTTCACTTCTAACTAAAAGGAAGAATACCAGTCCTCCAGCAAAAACAGCCCCATGCTTTCATCAAAGAGGCTCTCACTTCAATGATATTCCTCCAGGGAAGAGGACAGGAGCCAGGTTCCCTCGAATGTCATTCCCCAGATGTTCAAAACGTAACTAATTTATTAGCATTAGAAGATTTGGTTTATAGGGGAATCTCACTGGTCCAGTTTGTAGCCTACAAAAAAATGGATTATTTTTAAGTATAACATTAGAATATGAATAAAGGATGAGGATGTGGCTTTTTATTCCATAGAAATGGAAACATTTCCAAACATGACAATTCAACAAAAAAGCATGCCTACCATTGAAGTTGGAGTCCCTCCAGATTTTTTAATATTCTTTGAAGGCATTCCATGAAGGCGACTGAGTCTAGCTTGGAAACCTAGAAAATCAAAGTACTCAATTTAGAAGATTCTGTGATCACTGGAGCATAGAAGTTCCTATCAATAAAGAATTAAAAATTAGTTGGTGGTGAAGCTGGGTAAACACCATGAATATTACCTGGGAAAATGCAAAACTCACACTTAAAAGAACTGAAGCAATGCCTACCAGGGTTTTAATGCAGTCAGCACTTAACTACCCAGTGTTTAAGCACCGGAGTAATATCCAGGGTGCTTCTTTTTATCCAAACCACCTTCGTATCATTCCAACATTTTAACGATGGGCCTAGTAGGAAAGCAAGTCAATTTTTCAAATAATTTGAAAGCAGGGTACATGTAGTAGCTGAATTTGTGGCCAACACGTTTCTTTATAGCATCTTATGTGTATATTCTCTAATTTCCACTTTAGCCTATCCTCTTTCAATGAATGTTCCTAGATTGACCATAAGCCCACCGTATCTACCAGTTAGGCAGTGCTACTGACCTCTTCTGCCCGGATGCGACATAAGAGGGAAAGAACCAGTTAAGATTCTTTCAAAGACAGGATCTGGTAAATTTTTGTCTAACTCAGTAGGATCTTCTTTTTCCCACCAGGGAATGACTCCGGTGATACCACATGCTCCACCTGATTCTTTTTCGTAGAACCAGTCACTCTGCTCATCATCACCTGTGCAAATACAAGAAGCCCCCACAACCCCCAAAGATTCAGTTTGATCATATAAATACACAGTTAGGACTGTCAGACAATAAAAACACAAGATGGCAGTTACATACGAATTTCACATAAAAAATTAACTTTTAATGTATGTAGTAATTATACTAAATTTCAGTATTTGCCCAAGTACTGCATTAAAAATTATTTATTTATCTAAAATTCAAATTTAACTGGGAATTCTGTATTTTTTCTGGCAACCATACATATAATCTATAAAGAAAACTTTTTATTCCATACCACAGCTTCATGTCAGGAATGTTCTCTAACACTATGACCAGCTCTGCCAGCAACCAAAACAAAAAATGTTATGTTTTAGAACCAATTTGAAAATGTACAAAAACAATAACAAACTGGCTAATCCTTTGGCAAAAGTTGTAGGGAAATTTACTTAAGTTACAACCTTTTCTACATTTAGAAAAAACAAGACTTAATCTCCTGTGAGGAATTAAAAGGTATAAAACTGTGGAACCTGTTCTTTGCGGCTGATAATGGTATATAATTAGCTTAATTTCATGATTGTATGCAGTGCAAAGGGGGAAACAATCATGAACACATGTGACTAAATGAAATTAATCCAATTAAGTTCATTATGAAATAGTTTTGAAAAAGCTGATTTTAAACGAAAATTGAAATACCACAGAGTTTATGAAGAAACTATATTGGACTACTACAAGCAAGGTATTTTTAAAACAGAACACTATTCAGTAATTTTATTTTGGGGAACATCTATGACTGTAATGGATGTTCAGTCATGATAATGAATATCAATTTAAAATTCAGCTTGAAATGTGTCCTTGGTGAGATTTAATATTTTGTTTTTTAAAAAAAGGAATTATAAAGAGCTATATAAAAAGACAAAAATACTGATGGCAGATGGCTTTTAAAAATAAGAGACAAATTGCATTTTTCAATATGATCTGAGATTCATTAAAGTCTTCTCCCCATGATTCTTAGAAGCTACCACGAATTTTGGTTTCTAAGAGAGTCATCATAACTGCCACAAACTTTTTCCCTTTAGAGATTTCTGATTCCCAAAATCTAATTACCACAAACATTTTCAAAGGTAAACTAAACAAACAAAATCCATTTAATTAAAAATGATTTATGGGAAACAGCTGTATTTCATATTAAGATGGAGAAAAAAATTAAAGGCATTTGGAAAACTAGAGTCACTAGATTGTTTCAATTGAGGAATTAATAAAAATTAATTTTAAAAAAAAGCATAATTCATAGAACTTAAATGAGTTATATTTAAGTTTCACAGATTTAAGCAGAAGAAAAAAAACAGGGAGTCACCTGAAGCTATCTTAGATCTTAATTTCCTTCATGACAACACCAGATATTTTATTTTTGATGTAATATACAATTTTATTATAAATAGAAAAATCAAATAGCTATTGATTAAGAACTTGGGCTCTAAAGTCAGATAAATCAATTAGGTTTCTAGTGTTTTATAACATTAGGGGAGCTACTTCAACTCTATTAGTGTAGGTTTCCTCATTTTAAAGAAATTGGGAATCTCATAAGGTTTTTAAGAATCAAATAAGAACTTCATGTAAACAAATGCAAGAAAAGCCCTTAGCAATGTGAAATATAGGAAGGTCACAATAAATGCTAGCATATCATTCTAAGCCAGTCAGTGCTTTCAAAGATTGATAGGCTTGTCAAAAACATTTTTTAAAAAAGGTTCTTTTATTTCATTACCAATATCAACATTTATAATATGACCTAGCGTAAAGATCTATACTTTAATGAGAATTTAGGTACATTATCAAGGTTGTTAAGCTCACTTTTAGCCCTGATGTTTTAACATATTTTAGCAAAGTCTCAATATTAAAAAGTCTGTAGTGTTTAAAAAGTTTCTGAACCTATTTATCTGGGACAGACTAAGAAAAAAAGTGTAGGCAGCTATTACTTTGCCCTTTTTTTTTATAACATCATTAAATGATTTGTAACTTAAAACAATAAATATATTTTTCCCCCTTAGAACTTACTGTCCCCCCTCTATTGTATTCTTAAGGAAGATAACATTTGTGGTATTTATATGTATTAGCTTAATTTCATGATTTGTATTGAGAGTAAAAGGAGAAAAAAATCATGAGCAGATGTGACTAAATGAAATTAATCCAATTAAGGATTAATCCTGACCCCTTATTAAGGTTTCATATTTTTCATAGCTTCAAAAAACTGCCATATTAAACTGTGAAAAGGTTTAGGATGTTTCAAAGATAGAAAACATCTAAGATATAAGACATTTCTGTTTAACAGTTTACAACATAGCATTTGTGGATAGGATGTATAACTGTCACAGGTGAATAAAAATGACAACTTCCAAATCCATCTTTATGAATGCTTAAACAGTTTTTCATACGTTTGGAATCGGGGGAAATGAGAACCAGTGTCTTGCAAACTTGCTAAAAGAGACAAAATTGAAAAGACAGGTATATAAAGCTTTTTCAACAAAGATAACCATTCCTGAATAGCATTAGCTCCACATACTAGCTTTCGGGGATAATCAATTACTTTAGGTCATGAAGACAGGACCTTTCATAGCATGTGAAAAAACCAGCTACATTATTAAACCCCAGTCCACTAAGTAGTGTGTGCAAGGTAAATGAACCACAGTCATCAACTTATGAAATAACCAGTAATAAGCACAACTTTAAAACGAAGACGTTTTTCTAAAGAGAGAAAAAAATAACATGTCAGTACCTTGTCTTCCCTCATCATTGGTAAACAAACCAGCATCAGTGCTGCTGAGACTGCTGGAATCACTGTAATAAGGAAAAAGAAAGAAACAGATCAAAAGAACAATTGATCTCTCAGTCGTAAAATTTTAAAGAGACATGGCAGCTCAGAAATGGAATTTAAGCCTGACAAAGATCTGAAAGAAAATAAGATGATTTTTTTTTAATCAAACTGCAAATATCGTGGTTCCATTAACTACAGAGCATATTATTTTTGGCACATAAAACCACAGGAATCTAATGGGACACTGACAGTAAGCCAGATGTGACAGCAACGAGGTGCTGACACAATTGATGCATTTTATTATCTGCTTTCATCAAATGCTCACTGCGCCTTTCTTATGCCATGCAATTCAGCTTGGGCCTGAAACACCACTGCTCAATAAAATGGGAAAAGTCTCAATCAAAAGCAGGCTAAGCCTTTCTTCAGCACATGAAATACAAGGGCCTGGGATGAAATTACTTTTCAAAACCATATTTGCAAGTATTCTGGAAAAGACATTACTTAAGAATTAACAACAACTCTACTACTTTGCAAGGAAGAAAAAAGTTTACAATGGTGTCAATCCATTAAATCAAAGTTAAGGTCACTCTGAGCAGAAAAATGAGTATTAACAATATTAATATAAGTTTCTCGTTACTTCCATAGAAGTTTGAGTATGATACAGAGTGAAATTTAACATACAAATTAAAACAAATAGCGGATATTCAACTAACATGAACAAACTGTCACTATTAGTTGTAATAGAAGCAATGCTTATGATAGTCTAGATAGTTTAAAATACCAAGCGAACAAGGTCACATAATGAGAGATTTGGCCTCTAAAGAAAATTGAGTTATGTTCTTTAAAAATCCTCATGTACTTTCCTGTTACTGTAATTCTTCATTTCAATCAATCAGAAAATGGGCCCCTGTATTTTTAATTAAAATACTTTTTCCATTATCATTTAGAACTCTGTAACCTGACTTATTTTTTTAAAAAAGGCATCTCAACCTGTTTTAAAATATTTAAGTTGAAAAGTTTAAGATTAAAATTATAAATGAGATCTAAATCCACATACATTTTCTGAATATAAAATATTATTTCCAGTTTTTGTTTAAATTTTTAAAAATAAATATTAATGAAAGATATAAGAATTTGTTAAGAAGCACATGCTTTAAATGAGTTCTGAATCAGAACCTCTTTGTTTAACCTTCTTCAAATTAAATGAATGTATAAAGCTCCCTATACTATAGGATTGGAAATAAAAATATTTTCTAACAGCATCACATCCATATTTTCTTATTTAAAAACAAGTATGCTCTTCTATGCATAGTGATGTTAGAATATTAAAACTCTTCAGAACACCTTTCTTCTTTATGCTATTGAGCTGTCCAAACTAGTATGGATTTTTTTCTTTTTTTCTTTCATGTTTGCCCCATTAACAAAACTCAAATGAAGGGCCTTGTACATACCTCAGGTCACAATTCCTTTTCTGAATCCCTTGAGGCAAACTATATTTAAAATTCAGAATTATTCAAATTTTAGAAAGGTATATTCTAAAATGCCTTAGAGGAATCTGGGGTAGCATTCCACAATCAAATATATTAATATAGTCCTTAAATTAAATAAATGAATATCCATATCAAACACAGGTCAGGTTAAATCAGGCCACAAATGAATTAGTTTTTCACAGCTTTTCAGAGCTCAGATTTGCAGGTAAAAGATTGTGAATCAAAGTGCTAGTTTTTTTGTACCATGATCTTCTAATCTGACTTCAGATTAACGCTCCTCTAATCTATTCTACATAAAACAAAGTTAATCTTTTCAAAATATAACTGGTTGATTAAAAGAAATGAGTAACATGATATCCTGGAACAGAAAAACAAACAAACAAACAAACAAAAAAAACCCCCCGAAAAACCTAAAATTAAAGCAAAGGAAATTCTTATAAAGTATGGACTTTACTTAAAAATGTATTAACATTAGTTCATTAACTGTATCAGACGTACCACAGTAATGCCAGATATTAACAATAGGGAAAGTAGGTGTGGGATATATGGGAATGTGATATACGTGAACTCTCTGAACTATGTTTTCAAGTTTTCTGTAAATTGAAAACTATTCCAAAAGAAAAAGTTTATAAAATACACACACACACACACACACACTATAAGAAGATTGTCTTCTATTTAAAAGACTGAAACTGATTAAATTTAGATTTCAAGGGTTTCTCTGGTGGGTCGAAGATGGTCTTCTATTTAAAAGACTGAAACTGATTAAATTTAGATTTCAAGGGTTTCTCTGGTGGGTCTCCACCTAAATTCTTCCCATCCCCATTTTGGCCTTTTTGTTTACGTTCTTCCTCTAAATGGTATGCCTGTCTCCTCTCTCTCCTCTCTCCACCTGCCGACCCTTTTTAAGATAAAAGGAAATCAGAATTCCCTAAGACCATCTCTTAGTCCTTAATGATCTTTGACTTACTCTGAGATATTTTTACATGTATGTATTCAACATGTTTCCTTATTTACATTTCACCTCATTCATATTTAGCTAGTTGCTCCATGTACATCACATACTTGTTACTGTGTTCAATAAATCAGAACAAAACCTTAAATAGAAGCAGACTTTTCATTTTCATCAGCTGATGGTCAGCATGGCTTATCTCCAAAAACACCTCTTCCCACTTTTTGGGTATGACCTTTATAGCACAGTATTTGGATGAGAATATATTCCATGAATGCTTGTTGAATAAATACATGTACGCAGTTACCAAACCCTTGCCCCAATCTGTTCATTTCCCATGTTTTCTGTGACTGACACTTGGGCATCATCTGAGAATCCTCTCTCTCATCCATCATCCCAAATACAGTCAGTCAAGCTCCCACTGATTCCAATTCCTAAAATTTCTCTCAAATTCTTGCAAATAGTTCTTTTTCTCTACTATCACAGCCTTAATTCATCTCCAAAATACTGCTGTCAAGATCACATTATCCTGATGAAAATCTAGCTGACTTTTTTCACTGCTAGAAATTCTTCAGACTTCCTGCTGCCTATACAATGAAATCCAAACTATTTATCATAGCAGATAGTCCTTGAAGAAATGCTTATTGCTATAGCCTCAGCTCCCTGCAATATTCTGGGAATAATGAACTACATATACTACTGCCCCAAATACACCACACGCGTTCCACAATCCATGCCTTTGCACAAGCTGTTCCCTCTACCTAGGAATGCCATTTCCCCCTCTCCTCTTCATCACCCCAACTTGTTCAGAAATTAGTTCTTGCTTTAAAGCATAGCTCTTTTGCAAAGTCTTCCCCTACTAGTACCTTCCACTTAGCACATTTCATTTTCATCATTTGCTTGTCTGGCTATTACAGACTATGAAGCTGTTGAGGACAGAGTCTGTATTATTAGTCCACGTACCATCAGTAAATAGTAAATAGTAGTTAATTAAATGTTTGTTAAATCTGACATACACACACATACACACAAACCAAGGACAGGATAAAGTTGTTCTCATTCATAAATTGGCTTCAAGGAAATACATAGCTTTATATAGTAAGAATATTTTGCAATCTTCCCACAGAAGTAATTTGTACCCAACTCTTAAGTGACAATAGAAAATAGTTACATTGATAAGTTTAAAGTTGGAGAAAATATATTTTAAATTTATTGAAGAATGAAAACATCCTCTTTGAAAACTTGTACCTGTGCTGTTTGTTGACTGCTGGGTAGCCTGGTCAGACCTAGCAGATACTCAAATATTTTTTATAATGAAAAGAAATGAATGATGGGAATTTCATCTCATTTCCATTTCAGGGTAGATGTCCTAAGAAGCAGATCAATAAAAGGCAGACATCAGGAAAAAAGGAGGGGCTTGCACAATCAATCCAGAAAGCAGGTCATCTAACTGTGAATATTCCAGAATTGAGTATGTTATCTCCACTGCCACACACTCTCCCTCCCAGCAACTGAGCAAGATAATTACTTCCAAGCGAGGCTCTGTGGTTCTCAGTCACAATGGCCCAACACTAGCACACAAATAATTCTTATTTCTGTGTAAAACTGAAAACATTCCTGGAAGAAAAACAGATACCATAAAATTTTCAAAGCCTTCCTGAAACATTTTTTTACTTAAAGTAATTTTCACTTCTTTAGAAAAATTACATAAATAGCAAACCATGTCTAATAAAAGGACAATCTATAAACTCTGACCAGGTCTCACTCATGTCTACAATAATATTTACAAAAAAAAAAAAATCCATAGTTCACAATCCACATCATTAAAATTATCACAATACTGCAAATTACACTCATGTCTACAATAATATTTACAAAAAAAAAAAAAAAATCCATAGTTCACAATCCACATCATTAAAATTATCACAATACTGCAAATTAAAAATCAAACACTCCCTTAGCATTTGGTTTTAAGAACCCTCACCTACAAGGATGAACAATGTCAACACCTTCTCATTTCCTGCAAGAAGCATCACTCCTGTATAAAAGAAAAATGATCACTTACCTTTTGATGCTTAAAATATTACTTATTATTCATTACTGTAGTATACCTGATTTCTAAAATGGATAGATTAGACTAATTGGCAAAGGATCACTGCTTCTTCCATTTGTCTAATGACAAAATCAGGTGTTTCTAGACTATAAACTGGGTTTTACAATTCCTAAGTGATCAGAATTCCTAGCGAGCTATAGACTTTTTTTTTTTTTTTTGTCTTTTATCTTTTTCCATGTCCAGCAACGGATCGCAACCCTCAGTGTTGCCCCCGTACTGGACCGGGGACCGGCAACGGGATTGCAACCCTCGGTGCTGCTCCCGCACCTCGCTCAGCCAGTGAGCGGGAACCGGTCTGTACGTGGGATCCGAACCCTCGGGCGGGAGTGCCGCCGCGCTTCCCAAGCGGCGCACTTATCCAGTGCGCCACCGGGCCGGCCCGTATAGACTTTTTAAAATATCAAGTCATACACATGTCGAAGTAGAGTCAACTTTTCGTGATACTCTAAAAAGCAACAAAGGCTAAAGCTCTATAATTAAACAAATAAATAATTATATACCCAATTCTAAGAGTTACAAATGTGCTGTTATTCAAAAGCACATTCTTTGCCACTGAAAATCCACTTCCTTTTCTCTTTGTAGCTGAAAATTAAGTCATTAAAACAGAATGAAAAGACTGTAAATTGAATAAGCAATTTTGCTTTGTGCTAAACATCATGTTATAAGAAAATATAATCATAGTTAAATAGTAATATCACTACCATTATTACAATTTATAATTATTTTAAAATAGAATTAATTAAAATATAAAACACATTTTCAACCACAAACACTGGAAACAAATGTTTTTATATTTAGAGAATATAAAAGTCACCTTTCACTCATGAGCTCATCTGAGACTTTTTGCTCTTCATATTCCATTTTGTCCTTACTGGTCTGGCTTATTTCCTCACTATCTAAAACTACTCCTTCATCTTGGATTTTTGGTCCTTGTCTAATTATTTTCAATTTCCTCTTTTTGATTTTATTCTTAGTAAATTCTTGACATTGGTAAGCTCTGTCATTGTCCATGTCCTGATCTCTACAACCTTCGGGCAGCTGGGTCATTGTCCGTTTGTTGGAGATGTCCTGCGGAACATCTACTGCCATGCGTTTTACCTTTCTCCTCCTGCGTAAAGTTCTGTTCCCAAGGTTGTCCACAGCAAAATCAGACTCATGCCATAGAGGTCTTTTCCCTCGAACATTATTATTTAAGTTTGATGATGGCCTGCGCTTCGCCACTAACATTTGGTCATCAGAGTCACTATGATCCTTTTTATTATTATTGTGATTCTCTCTATAGTCCTTGCTTGGTTCTTCTAAACTTGAATCAGAGCCTTCACTTAAGCAGTGACCAGTCTCCCATGGGTGATGAACATTATATGACCTCCGTTTTCTCCCTCTCCTTTTCCTTGCCTGGCGTTTGAGAGGGCAAGATATACTTCGAGAATGGTCTCCTGTTTCAGCAAATCCACCTCGAGCTTGCTCTGAGCTCTCTTCCAATGCTGAGACAAGATCATGAACCAGTTCCTCCATGGTTCTACTGAAATGCCTACATTTTTTAGAGAAAGGAAAAAAAGTAAAGAAAACAGTCACCTTTAACTGTATTTAACCTAGTTCTCTACAGCAGACAATTCACTCTAAATTTGACTAAAATTAATAGTCATTACAAAATGCTTAAAAGCTATTTAATTGTACTATTCAAGATATTAGTTTCAAATCTGATTTTTAAGCCTCTTTTTTTGTAAATTCTTTTATTAAACATAGGAATTATTTCAAGACAGACTAAGTTAATATCAGCAGTGAGCGATCCCAGTACTTTTTATATTTTTACTGTGTCATTATGGAAAAAGTCTTTCTGCTTAAATAACTGTCCCCTAGTCTACTCCTGCCTTTTTCTGGAGCCAGTTTTCCTAGAGCAGATATACAGAGAACGTTCTTAGTCTCCTCTGCACCCACTAATCTCTAAGTAAAGAAGAAAGCGTGAAATCCTCTATTCACCATGTGCTCTAACAAATCACTGCCATGATATAAGAGGCAGACAAAGAGACAGAGAGGTACGTTCAAGATAAACAGTTGTAATATATGTGAAAAGAAAGTTTACCCAAATATTAGGCATAGGCCAAACTAATGTCATAACCAAGTGAAGCAGAAACTGTTTATATTCTAACTGGAGCTTCATTGGTCAAAAGGCCCCATCATTAACTCATTCTGAAACACCCCTTTAAGCTTTTTTTTTTTTTTTTTTTTAAGAGCATTGAACTACATTATCAGTGAGAAAATTATTCAGTAATCAGTAAGGATAAGTATCAGTAGTCTTTGGAAAGTTTTACAAATTATACTGGTCTTTTCTAAACGTAATTCCCAACGATTTTAAATTAGTGATATAAAGCCCAGGTATCCAATGTTATCTTTTAAACATTACATATAATTCAGATATGTACCTTTCTTATGAAGACCATGAGCAGTCATTTCTCAAATTGAGTTCTAGAGGCACCTAGCGATCTAAATATCCTCAACAGTCCTACAGAGGTTTGTACAGTTTCTAGAGTCTACAGCAGGGGTTGGCAAACTGTTCTGCAGAGGGCCAGATAGTAAATGTTTTAGGCTTTGCAGGCCATTAGATCCCTTACTACCCAACTTGGCATTGTAACGCAAAAATAGCCACAGGCCATACATAAATGTACGGACATGGCTGTGTTCTAATAAACATTTATTTATAAAATCAGGTGATGGATAGCTATAGTTTGTCAACCCTTGCTCTATATAGTCTCTCTAGTCACATACAGTCTCGACAGTCTATGATTTCAGGCTTTTACAAGTTCCCTATACCAACTTTCAACTTTGTCTTTTCATTTTAATGAAACCTAAAAACACACACACACATTGTAATTCAAAGGGATTTACCATTTATAATATGATGCACACATATAACTTCTAACATATGAGTACTTACTATATGCCAGGCCCAT